TAAATGAACCACAGCTTAAAAAAAAAAAAAAAGATTGTCAACCAGATCTGATTTTAAGGCCAAAGGCTCTAATTCTGGAAGTTCTTTGTTTAGTCACTTTGTCACGATGTTCCTTATGTGTCCCAAAATCTGTCATGTATTAAATTCCCAGAGTATACTCTACATCTCCCAGTCAGTTACTCTCATCATAGGCTCCTAATTCTAGACCCATGTCTTACTATATTTTTAAAGATAATTTAGGGGGATTTTTGTTTTTATTTGATAGCACAGCTTAAGAGAGACATGGAAGCGAGGGAAAGAGAGAGTGGGCGATGACATGCACCAAATAGAGGACAGGGAGTCCATCCTGTTATTAGTGTGACTAAGACTGTAGCCTATACATGGGGCATCTTCTCCACCCACTGAGCTTAACTCCTATCCTAAATCACTTTTTGTGTCTTGGAAAACATCTTGAAGCCTCTAAAAGTACCAACAGTACATTTTGCATCTAAGGACAACAACAGATTTAAAGGTTGATATATGTTAACTGAGCTGTCCATTATAATGTTTCTTTGGAATTGAAGGAATAGTATGGCATATTGGAAAACATATTAAAGCATCCTTGCAATATTGCGGATGGAACATCAAGAGCAGAGCCAGAGTCAGAACATGTAGGCCAAGCTTAGCATAAAGACTGGTGGAAAACTGACTAGCCTGGCCGCTGTTTAAAAATGACCCAAATACCAAATGGATGGTCTAGTTGGCAAAACCCCAAAATTTTGATTAGATTTATTTTACACCAAATCTGACTTGGTCATGCATTTAATATTACCTACTATTTAGAAGAGTGTTCAGGCTGCTGCTTCCCCATATCTTGATTTACTTACAAAGTAAATCACTTCTACTTGTTTGAAGGTTAAAAAGGCTGTTCTTGTTCTACTCCTTTATGTTGCATCAGACCTTAGACAATGTTTTACAGCTAAAATATATTTTATTTGCATGCAGGTATGAACTCTATATGAACAATAGGAGCTTTCCTACCATCATGCCTAAAACTAAAACCTATGCATACTGATTCCCTGGCATCCTACACTGTAAATGTCTTATTGGGGCACCGCTTGGCCCAGCAGTTAAGTTGTGACACATGTTCAGAGGCTACGATCCTCCAAGCAGGTAGCCTGGGTTCCAGTCTGACCTGTGACTCCTTTCCCACATGTCGTTCCCCCACTCTCTCTCTCTCACTCGATTTCCTACATTATCCATTGTCTTATCAAATAAAGGCATAAAATGCCCCAAATAAATTAAGAAACCAGAGAACTTTTTTGTATTGATTGATGAATGGCTGTTTGTAAAAATATTGCCCCAAACTGTTTCCAAGCCTTAAATCACAAGTGGATGTGATTTCAGGGTATAAAATTTCAGATATAATATATAATTACATTTTTTTGTGCCTCAAGGTCTTTATTTAACACTCAGACATAAGATTAACGTTGGACTTATTGCAGGTGGGTCTATATGAGGTGTTTATTAAGATTCTCTTACTCTGTCACTATCCATTTGTTCAGCTGCAACAAGATTATTTAGCTAATTTAATCAGGGCAAATTTTTCCAAAAATATTTAGTAGGCAAATTGATACCGCAGGGCTTATTTTTAATCAGTGGCTATTTTAATGGAGAGCTTTTACCCAAAGCAGTTGTGCAGAAATGTGTTTTCAATGATATGCAGTGTTTAAAGTAGCTTAAGCAGAGAAGCCTGTTGAGGAGAAATCATCTGAATATATCTCCATATATATCTCTAAAAATCTCCATTTTCCAAATCATTTGGTTTTTGTTTTGTTTGATTGTGCGTTTTAGTGATGCAACAATACATTCAGCTAAGTACCTCCATGTTTTGGTCACAGATTTTGTCTGGCCAGGGCCGTTGGAGTTTAGTTTTGTTGGTTCCCTTTTCCATTCTTAAGAGGTTTAGGCAAATTTTAAAGGAACAGGTTGAGAAAAACAAGGCTATTTTCTTTATTCCAAAACGTTTTCTTTATTTTACTTTGAAGTAAAAACACTTTTTAATTTATACACATTCCTGCTGTAAAGTCTCAGTGAAAAGAAGGCAGCGTTTACGTAGTGCCATGTAGACCCTCTGTACAAATAGGAAGACATTTCAGTATTTTAAAATAAACATATTTTATTTTTCCTTGACTTATGCACAGAAACTTGTCGAAAAGCGTGGCTTTTTCAGTGTATGGTCTCTTTGTTTCAAACGCTCAATGCCGAAACCGAAATGTCCCCACACCACTGATTTGGAAGACGGTGATGCTTCCTTATATTGCTGTCTCTCCTCACTGCTCACCATGTAAAAGTAATGTGTGGAATCTGACACCAGTGTTGTCACATAGTGATTTGATATTTAGTAATGGCAATGCGTTTTCTTCACCCCAGTGCTTGGACTCACAGGCACAACACACACAGCCAATTTGTAGAGAAAAACTATGCATGGAAGCTAGTTGTATGCAAAACCTAAATAGTTAAATTCACAAGTGCATATTGAACCGTGGATGCCGTACCAAATGGTTCAATATTAAATTGAGAGCTGTTGCATCCCTAGTGCGATTTGTGTGACCCTCATGAGTCGTGACACATCAACCTGAAGAGCTGCATCCTTAGCCTCAGTGCATCAAGGTAAATGATGCTGTGCCCTTGAAAAGGCCTCTGTGTTAATCCAAGATTAGTGTGTCTGTGTGTGTGTGTGTGTGTGTGTGTGTGTGTGTGTGCAGACTGAAAAATGAAGTGGACTATTTGTGTGAATGAGTTTGGATAGAAAGAGAGTCTGCATGTGGGTGAACTATTGTTCTGTCATTCACTCTTGATTGATCCTTTATCAACTAATTGTCTTTGCTAAATGGTGGGCAGTGAGCGTATAGGTCAGTGTCTGTGTGTATTTACCTCTTAATCATCCTTAGTTCCACACTAGAGGTGTTACCTTTTTGTTTTTTTGTCTCCCTTACTTTCCCTAAGTAGGCAGTAGCTCAGGCCGTAGGGATGAGAACCGGAGGGTCGCTGGTTCAAGTCCCGATGCGGACTATAATATGGAAGTCCTGAGTACTGCAGAGGTGCCCTTGAGCAAAGCATTGAACCTCCACCGTGCTCCCTGCGTGGCAGTGTGTAGCAGCCCCACTCTGACATCTAATCCAATCCAATAATGCATGTCCTGTGTGTGTGAGAAGCATGTCTCTAAAATAACCGAGTGTAAACCAGAATTTCCCTCAGGGGATTAATAAAATATATCAAAATCAAAAATGAAACCATGATGAAATCATAAGGTTGAGGGACGCAGCAGCATGATCACACCTAATGAAACAGCAGAGAGGACACTTCATGGAGGCAGATGGGGTTTGACCTTTGAAATGCCTAGATCTGTTCTGTGCGCCTTTGAAGATTCTATTAAAGTAGATTTTGATTTATTGAAGGTTGGAAGTGAAATTAACAAAGATTAATTGATTAGCCAAACGGAAACAAAATGGTTCAAAGAAGTTTCTTAGCTCACTCTGTACTTTATATACATGTATATCTAAACACATCAATCCATATTAGTACTAAGACTGTTACTGAAAGATTGGTTCTCAATAACTATTCCTAATTAATATACAATCTGCTTTTAATTCACCAGCTCACCGACTATCGTCTACTTGCCCTTCCTCCAAGATGTATGTCCAAGTGTGTACGCGTCTTTTATAAATGAGACCCTAAGAACTGTTAGATGCCATGATCCCCCTTCTATTTATTGATTATTTTTCCTTTCTACTTCTAAAGATCGGTCCAGTGTTTCCTATGGTAATGAAAGGAATCACTGAAGCTCCTCTCCTTGGCCTTTAGAGAATTCAAACAGCTCCTTTAATGGCTCCCACTTCAGTACTTCCTCTTACTTTCTCTTAGTTAGTAATGTTATATATATATATATATATTTCTAGTTTCCCTTTTTTTCCCCGTACGAGCTTGGTTAATTTGATTGCAGACATTTCCTGCAGACAAAAAGTCTGTGTGTGTGAGTCAGAGTGAATGACTGTATCCTCTATGAGGTCATCTCAGCTTGTTAATCTAGTGTACTATAATTATCTAAATAAAGAAACAATTCTGCTCTTTCTGTAACTCTAACCTGTATATTTTAACATACACTAACATGTGTATTTAACATGCTTTGTTTGTTTTAAAGAACACAGGAAACTTATTGGCCGTGCACTTCATGTTTCTGTACTAAATGAGTGGAAATCCTTCTTGTCACCTCAGCTGATACTTTGTGTATTATTTCTTGTTCATACTATTTTGAGTTCACATCGCTCTGGGTGACTGGACACCCCAGCTATTGTGAAAACATTACTCTGTCTCCTGGATTGCATGAGTCACATATGCACTTCAGATAATATCTAGATCATTATGGGAGTACTGCTCTGGAGATACTTTATGCAGTGTGCAGCAGACATAAATTAGAATATAAAAGTCACTCTCTTCCTATTGGCTTGAGCTGAATTTTTCGGGAGAATATGATGCTGTGTTCTCACATCAGCCCACTCGGACTTGCTGCGTTAAAAAATATTAAGGGTCTGGCTGGAGAAACTCCGGGTGAAGTCCGAGCAAAAATTTGGCTGTTTGCGTTCACAAATACAGCTCCACCGGCTCCAGGTAATCTCCAGATTTTTCAGGAGATTTCCGAATATGTGAAAAGGGTTTTAATGTTATTTATCAACAGGCTCACATTTTTTCCGTATCTCATACATAATTGATGGTATGATGAAATATATATATATTTTCTAAGTATTCTACAGCCTTTGAAGCTCTCGAGCTCTCCCTGAAGGGCTCAGTAGTTATATGAACTCCTCATTGAGTGTAAGAACTCTTCTTGGAAATATGATTTTAGAGAGATGAAAGAAAATCAGTATTACAAAAAAGGAAAATCTCTATTATTTTATTTAAAGGCTCAAAGGCTTCGTCAGCCATTGTTTAATCTGTGTGTGTGTGTCCTTCTCTTTCAGGTGGAAGGAATGAGCAGGAGGGTCTGGCAGCCATCAGGAAGATCTGTGAAGAGTACAAAGAGGCCAAAGGTAGCTTTGCAAACATGTCGGAGAACACACAAATAACACACAAACACTTGCAGGTGTGTACTTGTTTTTTGTTTGCCAGTGTTAGAAGATAAAGGGCAGAGCGGAAGCAGTGTGTACCGCAGGCTTGTTTCTACAGTCTTTACTCGGCACACGCACATAATTGCACTCTTGCAGGTAACACACACACAGAGACACCCAGCGCTTTCATGCTGGCTGTACAATATCAGGGGTGTTGATGCACTGTAAGGAAGGAGGAAAGCCTATAGGAGCAGAGGGGATGAGGGAGGAGGGGTAGAGACAGACATGAAAGGAGGCAGAGGGGAGGAGAAGAACATGACAAATGGGCAAATACGGGACGATATAAAAGGGGAGAAGAACGAAGAGAAGGAGGTGGTGATGGAGATGGGGGGGGGGGGGGGGGGAGACAAATGATAGCAGCCAAGAGATTTATTACTTCATTGACTAAAGCTTACAGGGTTCTCTGTAACTCCCATGTTGAGAAATTGATTCGGCTGACCTTCACAGCACCATAAATTCAACCATAGTCTCATGACCAGGAGGCCTCATAAGTTATTCTTAAATGTGGCAGCCTTGAGTCCTAAGCAAGGACCGTCAGTTGGTATATACTTCAGTGGTGATACAGAGATTTTAAGTCTTAAAAATATCTGGTACAATTTAATTTTTGACTAACAAGACAATCAGAAATGTGTGCTCTCTTTATTTTTTTATGTATAACAACAACTATATTAAAAGTAACAAAACATTTGGTTACCAGGGTTTTCTTTGTTTTCTCACTCAGTTTTCACTGAGTGAGGTATCTCACTATGGAAAGTGCCATCTGGAATGGCCAATCACTGAAGCTCCACTAGCACCACGTACTGTATTTCAACTGTATTTCTTCCACCTGCTATACAATGCAAGCAGGAGGGCAGTGCTGTGATACATTACTCAGTTTTCAGAGAACTGGGGTTACCCTGGTAACCAAACAATCTCTTTCAAACGTCACTATGGAAGTTATAGCCTACTTCTAGATTGCATGATCCGAAGCCCACAATACTTTGACCTAGGAAAGTACACCGCAAATGCTCCCCAGGGACTAGCAGAAGGACCAGCACTAAGGACAGAGTGCGCTACAGAAGGCTCTGTCACATCCAGACAGTAAAACCAAATAGATGTGTGTGAGTGGGGGGTGCCCAACTGGCAGCAGTGCATATATCATTCACTGAATTGCCCTTAAACAGGGCCCATGAGGTGGCCATCGCTCTAGTGGAACGAGCCCATATTTCCTCCACTATCCAGTGAAACAGACTCTGGCAAGACAGAGCTCAACCCTCTGCGAGAAAGGACACAGAAATCTGAATGCTCCCTCTAAACCCCCTTGTCCTGTCCAAATAGATGCACAAAGCTCGAATGGGACAGAGTATATTTAGCTGCCTCTCTCTCTCTCTCTCCTTAGGAAAAAAGCCTGAGGGGTGAAAAACAAAAAAACAAGCAGCTTCACCGTGGGGCAGCTATAAGACGACTCACTGACCTTGGGTACAAAAACAACATGGTTAGGGCACAGCATCACTTTTTCATAACCAGGATGAGCTGGATGAATACACAGATGAGGCGTGTAGCTCACTTATCTGTTTGGCTGAGGTCAGAGCATGTAACAGTATAGCTAAAAGAGCTAAACACTCGGGGTGTGGATGAAAAATCTGACCGCGCATCTGTGACACTAAGTCTCTGGCAATAGAAGCAACAATGCTCGGCTGTGTCTGAGACGAGCTCGTTCTGCCATCTATTGTCAACTGGGCGAGTTTTGGAACCACCAGAATTAAAGACAGCTGCTGTTCCTTCTGATCAGTACAGGAGCTGTGAGGCTAAGGGGGATGAACAGTATGTTTGGCCATGGATATGCCAGCGCGTCCATTCCCAGCGGTGTGTCATTGTTTCTTAGTGAAAAGAAAGGAAGACAATGTGCAGAGATCTACAGACTCTTGGATGCATCTCTCCTACACCAGGTGAAGCAGGCAAAATGTATCCACTCGTCCTTGTGACAGAACAGCTTGAAATGAGACGGAATTGATTTCAAGACCTAAAAACTCTGTATTCTGAGTGGGAAATAATGCGCTATTGACTTGATGACACAGAATACGAATACAGAGGACAATCTCACTATAGAAAAGAAGGAATACATTTTTTTCTTTAAGTCAATTTGATCAAAATAATTGCATAACTAAAAGCCAAAACAAAATAACAGGACTTTTTTATATGTTGCTTGGAATTTTAGTAGCTATTAGCATCCAGATATCAGCTTTTGGTGGCTTAAAATTTTAAAAATAGCTTCATTTTTAATCACTTTATATTAACAGTAATTAAGATAACAAGAGATTATGCATCAGCTTAATTAGAAAATGTGACAAAGAGGAATAATTTAAAGCTTAATACCAGCAGCAGTTTTCATCCACAGATCCCTCAAAACTCAACCAACTGGTCACTGGTTGCTTGTTCTTCCACATCCATTTGCTCATTTTACCCAAGTCACTACTTGAAGAATTACTGAAAAGTATTTGATTTTAGATCAAGTTTACACAAATGTTTTTGATAAAGTTGTTCCCAGTAATGGTGACCAAAGGCCAAGAATTGAAAAGTTGTCTTTGTTGCTTTCATACATTGCAGTGATGACAAAGCTGTGTAAATAACAAGAATGAGAGATTTTTATTTGCTTGTCCAAACTATTTCTCCTCTCTTAAATATTCAGTGGCCTTGTCTTGTCATTGAAAGTGAGTAACAGAAAGAACGAACGTGTAGTCTAGAGGAGGAAAGGTTCATCTACTGAATCCTCAAATTTTGCTTTATTGACTCAAAGTGAAAAAAAAAAAGTCTGACCCCCGCCGGGTGCTTGCAGAAAATGAAATTTCCTTGTACTGTATAAACGCTGGTAGTTTTTTATGGTTGATTAATGAATTAGTCATTTCAAAAAACATCATCAGCATATCACCTTTTAAATGATGAGATCCCACTGAATGAATTGAATGCATTGTTTAATTAACGACATGTCTAAGAAGTCACACTCCGGTGACTAAAACACTGAAGATCAGATAATGAACCTGCTCTAACTGTACGTGTTAGGACTTCATTCATTCTCATTGACTTGTGCTGACGACAGGTCATGTATGATACTGAATAAAGCACTGCCTGATGGGAAAGCAAGTCTCGTTTAGTCTTTCATGGCGTTGCAGTAGAGAGCCACAGAAAGCTGGCTGGCTGGTCCCTGCTTGTGTGTAAGTGGCTGTCAGGTACAGAGACAGCGGCCGTGTAGCTGGTGTCATTGAAGTCGATTTCCCCGGACGAGGCCGTGGTGGAATTGATTACTTCTTTTGTAATTGGCAGGCGCTGAGGCATAGGGGACAAGGGGGGTGTGTGTAGCCAGATGCCTGTGCACTGAATGAGAATGTGTTGATGTGTGTGTGTGTGTGTGTGTTCCGATTTGTTTGAATAAGACGGTAATGGATTCTCATTAGTATGTGAGGCAGGAGCTTTAAACATCTCTTTCTAACGCCCTTTGGCATCCTTCCTAGTGTTTGCACATTGTCTCTTATAAGAAATGGGAGACAGCTTATAATACACATTCGACCTGCAGAGGCTAATTTTTAAACTGGGGACCAGTGGACATTTTTAGAGGTCCTATGCAATTTCAAGGTGTCATCATTGATTAAAAACTACTTTTCTAGAAAGTCTATAAGTTTTTGGGAGTATTTGTGCCATTTGAATGGTAATAAAATATGTTTTTATTGCCTTTTTTGCACTCTAAACATCTGTTGGTTTGCAACAACTGTAAAACTATGTATCACAGGTCAAGGAGCATCAGGTTCCCAGAGCCTATCTAGTAGAATTAAATAAAACATAAATCATTTCAGACACTTATAACTAAGTCTGTCACTGAAATAAACCTACTCACTTAGCTTATAGCTATCTGCTCTGTGGTTTACTTTCTTGTGCAACAATCTTTCTACGTTAAACTGGCTAGCGGGGAATCTGCCCTTATTGTTTACAATTCTACAATTCACTTAGCAGACGCTTTTATCCAAAGCGACGTACATCAGAGAGTAAGTACAACACAAGCAAGGATCTAGAAAAAAGGGAACAATGTCAGTAAGAGCAAACGATCAGCTTTGAGTCCGATTGGACACACAGGTGCTGACAGGAAGTGACCAGAGGCAAAGCACAACATTGAGGGCAGTTCTTGAGAGCTCTAATCAGTATAGAAACCATCTTATAAGTCGTCGTTATCAAAACCATCGTCACAACCATCATCATCATCAATAATATGGAGACCATCATCATTAAGTTAGTAGGTATTCATGAAAGAGCTGGGTCTTTAACTTTTTCTTAAAGGTGCAGAGGGACTCTGCAGATCCATTGGAGTTTGGAAGTTCATTCCACCACCGGGGGGCGACAGAGGAGAAGAGTCTACAGAGTTTACATCTGTTTGTCTTTACAGAAATTGCTATTTCGAGAAATACATTTGTTTGATACTTGAAGCTTAAAAGCTTTCCTCCTCAGCTTCCCTTGTAGACCTCTTTAACTTCCAACAGTTTGATAAAGCCAAACATTTGAATATTGTCAGAAGGGTGAATGACATGTAACACAACTGCGACACAAAGGTCCTCAAAGTGTATTCAGTCACTCTAACGCAAGACATTAGTAGAGGTCTGCCAGGGCCCTCTCAACTTTTCAAGTTACCTGTTCTCCTTCCCGTGTCCATGTTGGAGTCAGGCTGGCAGAGGGCCAAACTAAGAGTGATAAAAAGGGAGGACAGATTTAGTTTGTATGAAAAAAAGACCCACTTATGATAATAGGATGTGATGGAAGGGGATATTCCCTTCGGGTTTTTAAATCTAAATATTTATTCTAGACTAAAATACCTGTTGCAATGGGATTTTGTATTTTAACAAATACTTTGCAGCCCTAGATATTAGACTGTTTTTTTTGTGTTTGTAAACATGTGAAGA